CGCGCCTGCTCCTGCTCCTCGGGGCGCTGCCGCTGCTGCTCCTGCCGCGCGCCCCCGGGGTGCGAGGTGAGAGGGGCGGCGCCGGGGGCGGGAGCAGCCGGGCTGGGGACGCGGAGGGGCAGCGGGCGCCGCGGTCCGACCTCCCCCGGGGCGACGCGGACCCCGGCCGGGTCCTGGGGCTGCGCGGGGTGGGGCGGGGACCCGGGCCGAGAGCCCCTCCGGGAGGGCCGGAGGGAACCCCACGGCGCTGCGTTTTGGGGGGCGAAGAGCGCGCGGGCACTCGCGCGCGCACCCGTGCACAGCTGTACACGCGCGCGCACCCGTGCACACGCACACCCCCGTGCCTGCTCAGCCGGCCGCCCGGCCGCGCCCCCCTCATCCCACCTTGTGCCCAGCAGCGGAGCCAGCTGAACGCCGGGTGCCATCTGCACCGCGCTCGGGAGCTGCTCGCTCGCAGTCCACTGACTGGAGTGTTGCCTCAGTGGAGGACACGGTTTTGGACGCCAGTTCAGCGCTGAGCAGAGGGAGAGGCTCCGGGAGCGGCTTCCCATGAAGTCTTGGGGACACGTCTGCCCTTTCCTCCCTAGGTGACTGCGGCCCTCTCCCGGTGGTCCCTCTCGCCAAGCCGGTTTCCGGAGGAAGCACCAGTTTTCCTAAGGACACCAAGGTGGAGTACAGATGTGACCCAGGCTTTGTCAAAGTCCCAAACTTGCCAAACGCCGTGGTCTGCCTTTCCAACAACAAGTGGACAGACATAAAGCAATTCTGTAATCGTAAGTGCTTCCTTTCCTTTTAGAAAAGTTGTGGGACCGGGAAGTGTCGTGGTAAGGTTATTTTTAGACCTCTGGAGTGACCGGTAATTGATAGTTTTCTCGCATCATTAAAGCCCCAGGGTGTACCCTGCTGGCAGCGCACTCGCCAGCTAATTGAAGGTGCGCTTCCCAGGGCAGGTCCTGCTTCTTCATTAGCAGTTTTTCTTCCTAGCTGTACCTGCCGAGCAGACTAGCAGAGAAAATACTGATACTGCCTAGGGAGTGGGTTGTGTAGGAATATATTTGCCATTAACCTGAGGCACATGCCTAGGTGATGTTGTCTTACATTTCATTCCGTAAAGTAGAACTCAGCGAACATAACGCTTTGATGGCGTTTTGAAAAGTTCTCTATACTTTCTAACAAATGTATTGCTTAGTCCCATATTTGAGATACGGTCGTGCATCGCATCATGCTGGGGGTAAGTTCTGAGGAGTGCGGTTTTAGGCATCTGGTACTTACCTGAACCCTGTGCGAGCTGACCGTGGGCCAGCCTCCTACGAAGCTGCGCTGTGGGCTGGGGCCCCCGCTGCTCTCCGCTGCCAACCTGCACAGCAGCCGCGGTACTGAACACTCAGCGGTCGGCACACAGTGGCACTTGTGTATGTAAGGGTCAAAAATGTGCGGTAAAAATGGGGTGTGAAAAACAAAAAATAACATACTCGTACGGGGCTCTTCCCTTGAACGGAAGCTGCGGGACCGGAAGTTGCTCTCCTGTCCCTGAGTGAGCAGGAGGGGCGTGCGAAGGCCCACAGCTCACGGGGCACTATTCTGGACTTTTTGAACACTGCACACTGAGGCTGCACTAAATTTATTAAAATTTCTTTCTCCAATAATAAGTTAACTCTGGCCTACTGTGACTTTGTAAGGTTTAATTCACTATGCTGTTTTATTCTTTTAGGCTTTGGAGGGTTGTTTTTGAAACCAGACCTCACTAGGTTGCCCAGGTTGGCCTTGGAGTCCTGAATCCAGGCAATCCTCCTACCTCAGCTCCTAGGTAGCTGGGACTGCAGGCCACCAGGCCCAATTTAATTTCTTTCTTTTTTTACTTTCCTACTCCAGCGTAATAATAACACTTAGCTTAAACACATTGAATACCTGTACAAAAATATTCTTTTTCTTTACATTCCAACACTGTGGTTTTTTCTACTGAAAAGAATTTTAATTTCTCTTACTTTTTAAACTTTTTGTTGAAAACTGAGACAAATAATCACATTAGCCTAGCGTCTAGGCCCGTCTGGAGTTGAGCTCTTCAGTGTTACTGTTTTCCACTCTGATCTTGTCCTGTGAGCCAGGCCCAAGCGAGGAGCTTCTGTCTTCCATGATTACAGTGCCTTCTCTGGAGAGCCTCCTGGAGTGGTGGCACTGTTGGCCTACTTTTTAATAAGTGAAAGAAGTATGCTCTAAGATAACAAGACGTATAGAATAGAGAATGAATGAACCAGTAACATAGTTGCATATTATCGCTATCAAGTATTATGAACCATACCCAATTGTATATGCTGTATTTTCTTACACTGGCCACGCGGGATATTCATTTCCACCAGCCGCCCCTACACATGTGAGTAATCGTCACACTGTGGTGTCACCATGGCTTCTAGTGTCACCAGGCAGTGGGAGTCCCTCAGCTCTGTCACAGCCTCTGGGACCACCATGGAATATGTGTCCATCACTGACAGAAACGTCCTTATGTGCCACATGGCTGTGTATAAGGAAAGAGAAAAATGAGGCAATGCCTGCTCTGAACAAATGGAATCGGCGGAAACTACCCTAAGTATGGAATATTTGAAACCTGTGTGAAATGGCTCTAACTTTTCACTTTCGTTTTTGCTGCTGTTGATATTTTTAGGTAGCTGTGATGTTCCGCCCAGGTTGATTTATGCAGCCCTCAAGGAGATTTACATCAAGATGAATTATTTACCACCTGGTTCCGTTGTCGAGTATGAGTGCCGGCCGGGTTTTAGAAGACTGTATCCTCTAGTGGGAAAGTCAACTTGTCTTGAAAACCTAACCTGGACCGCACCTGATGAATTTTGTGAAAGTGAGTACAGTTTTTAAAAGTGTCTGGTATTTGAGGGAAAAATGATCTATTCCTTTGTTCATGGTGGAACTCTACATGTACCTATTATTATTTATGTATGATTTTTTTTCTGTTGCTGGGGGATCAAACTCAGGCCTTTGTGTGTGGTAGGCAGGTGCTACTGAACTACATCATCAGCCCCTAGGTGATTCTTAAAAGAATGATGAGTCATTTTAGTTTAAATTAGACGCACTAAGTATTTATGCGATAAGAATACTTACTGACAAATTTCACATTTATTAGTTTGAGATTACCTAAAATGGCTATTTTAAGTATGGGCTTTTTTGAAATATCGCAAAATGAAGACAGAGCTAAAGAGGTCTAAAGATTAGAAATGTCAGTGGTTCAGATAATGAATTTGCATTGATTGGCATGGTAATTTTTGGAAAAAACGTTTCCCAGGCTTATTAAGGTGTAATTAAGTAAAACTGTATTGGGCCAGAGGTGATAGTTCGGTGGCAGACTGCTTGCCTCATGCACACAAAGGTCTGAGTTCAGTTCCCAACACCGCGTGTGTGCGTGCACACACACACACACACACACACACATATTAAAATGTGCATATAGTCAAGGTATACAACGTGATGCCTTAATATACATTTACGTGAAGTGATTCACACAGTCAATCTAATGAACATATCCACCACTTCAAGTTAACCTTTTCTTGTACATGCCTGATTTAATGAAAAATACTTTGCATTCTCTTTTAGAAAAATCATGTCCTACTCCCAGAGAAATAGAAAATGGTCACATCAATGTGGCAACTGACATACTAATGGGTTCTCAAATCTTCTTCTCATGTGACGTAGGGTAAGTTTTATACAAATGCAGAATCAAATTAGGATTTGAGATAGAAACTACTGAAGGGCAATGTTCACAGGCTTTCAGCAACTGAACAACCCCATTCCTCAAAGATCCTTTGTCAACCTCTTTAGTAAAGCTAAAGTTAGTAAAATGGGTCAAGAAAGGAAGCTTTGATACCACCAAATTCTCTAAAATCATAGATTTCAGTACATCTGTGATTCAACATAAAACTTTAAATGTGATTAGTAAACCAGAAAATCTGATTTGCTGATGATACTTGCAAAAATAACAGTCCTTCAAGTGTTAAACATAAAACCAGTCTTTGCTACATAAGTAATGAATTTGCATTTGAGTTTTTCTACGTGTAAGCAAACTGTTATGAGATATTGTGGCCTAAGTACATTTCTTCTTAGTATGAAAATAGCATTCTAACCTAAGGTCTTGTACAGGTCTCCAGTAGGAAAAGAAACTCCCCCATTCCATAGATCAGTGTCTCAAATACATTGGGATTTTTTTTTTTTTTTGATGGTACTGGGATTGAACTAAACGTCTTTGAACTGAGCTATTTCCTCACCCCTTTTTAAATTTTTCAGTACTTTTTTGAGACAGTTTTCATTCAGTGCTGAGGCTGGGCTCAAACTTGCAGTCATGCTGCCTTAGCCTCCCCGAGGCCTGGGATTACAGGCAGGTGCTACTACTCGTGCTTTACAGTTGGAAGCTTAACGTTCACTTTTCTCTCTTAATATTTTCAAACCCAAGTATATTTTCTCTCTGTCCCTCCCTCAGATGGTAGTTGGGTGATTACTGTAAAATCCAGGAAGTACTTTGGACACTTTAAATGCATTCTGTTACTCTCTGTTGATCTTTTAGAACTAATATAAAATAGTGGATGATCTTTATCATTTAAAAATGTTTTCTGCACTTTTATATTTTCTAACATACACACTGTGCAAATAAAAAGCTGTTCTATATATCTTACACGTTTTTACCTTTTGGATTTTTCCTTTATAAACTTAACTTTTTTCCCATTCCTTTAAATCTCATATGAACTTTTAACAACTATTTTTGTCCTCATTTACTGGTGTGATAAATATTTTAAGATGATAATCTGAAGAATTTGAGAAGAGGCAACTATGTATGTATGTAACGGAAATGTTTTTCTCTCCCTACTGCTCTAGGTATAGATTACAAGGTGTAGCTTCTACTTTCTGCATGGCTGTAGAAAATGGTGTTGATTGGAGTGACGCATTTCCAGTGTGCACAAGTAAGTCTTTTAAAAATCTGAACTCTCGGGTTATGGGGCCGAATGATCAGTGATAAATTACCTTCTTCTCATTAAGGACTATTCAGGGCATCTGTGCAGTACCCGCACCTTTCAGTGTGTGCCTTTGATCATTCAGTCGTCCTTTTTAAGTGATGTTTCTTAATTTATTAGCCGTGGCATTAAACCGTCAAGCTTCTCAGAGTATCAGTACCCTTACTATAGAAGGAGAATTAAAATCAAGCTTAGGTTTGCACGGTGTTTTCATTTAAATCTAACCACTCCTCCAAATGGGTGGGGGAAGTTAGGACATTTTCCCTTCACAATTTTGTGGAAGAAAACATTATGTATCAGTTTCTGTGTGACTTAACTCCATACCCTAAAACAAGTGGCATTAGAAGACATTTAACCCAGGCCTCTTAACTGAAACCAATCATTTTTCCAAGACCCAGTGTTGCTTACATGTCTCTTTTCAGGGTCATAATTATCTAGAACTGTTTTACACTGTGATATATTTTATCTTAGAGAAGTAAGGATATAAGGTAAAGAAGAAATACAGTTTCTGAGAAACTTCTCAAAGGGAAGAGAGGTCACAGAAATAATATCATAAGTGGGGACATGTCAAATATATGTCTGCTGGAGCCGCGCCTCCCACAGATTGAGAGAAGAAAATAATACGCAACATTTTTATGTATTTATTTTTCTGTGCTGGGGATTGAACCCATGTGCATGCCTAAGCAAGTGCTCTAGCAATGAGTCATACCCTGGCCCACAGCCTTTTAAAATGTAGCCTTTATCCCTCCTGTCTTTCTCTCCACACCTAGCTTGTACTTCTGCAAACGACTTCTGAAAACCCCATTGTCAAAACTATTACTAAGCTCATTTTTTGTGTTATTAGAAGCAGGAAACAAGTAGATTTAGTGTAACTTATCAAGCATTTGGTGAGTGACACGGCATGGCAGGCAGGTGTGCAGTCAGCTGATAACAAAGACAAGAGAAAGCCTTAGCCATCAAGGTTATTTCCTTGCTGATTTTTTTCTTTTTCAAAACCAATTTCGGTTGACTGCTGGTACCTGCTAGCCCGCAGTCAGTTCCTTCTGTACAGTGACTCTCTGCTCAGACCCCTCTTTATTTTAGCTCCCCACATTTACCTCTTCTGTCTACTTTTCAGACCTGCCCCTGTCTGTGTTCTTTCTAACATGGTTTGTTATCCCTCAGCTGGACTATTGCAGACAAGGCCACCCCTACCAGTTTTAGGGCCCAAGCTAGACTATAAATGGGAGTCCCTGACTTAAGATCCATCCTCCCCCTTCCCACACTGCAGTCTTTCTGCCACACATAGGTGGACAGCCTGACCACAGTGACCCTTACCCAGACCGTAGGTGTGTAGACCAGCAGTAGAAACCACTCATGATAGAGACCAGGGAAGGGACTCCTGGGAGGGAGGTCGGCACAGGCATTCTGGGGGCCGCTCCTAGAGAATGTTCTAGGATGGAGGAAGGGGTTTGGGCAGGCTGTGGTAGAACATGTCCCCTGGGCCTGCAGACACCCCAGCTGTGGGAGAGACGCCCGCAGTGGGACCAGGCACAGCCTGTGAAGTGTGGGGTGTGGTGGGCCGAGTCCCAGGGTGCTGCTGATGGCGGTGGCCTCCACCTCCATTCTCCCTGTCCACTGCCGTTCTGTGCATAGGATCGGAAACACCGGTGTGTGCTGTCTCTCCTTCTTCAAGCACTTAGTATATCTCATCTCTTAAAACATCCAGACTCCCGAGTCTGGCGTTCAGAGCTAGTCATTGTCTGCTTGCTTTGCCAAGCTCACATTTGGCCCTCGGATTGTATGTGGTACCCACACCCGCTGCTTATGCTCTGCCACGTACTTCACTCTTCTCTGTGCTTCCACAGTGTTCCTTATGTCGCCACTGCCACCTGCAATATCCCTCAGCCCCCTTTTGGCTGGGCTGTATTCTCCTCATTTAGGGTTGCTTCTCCTAGTCCTTCCGGAAGATTTTGCAGGCTGGCAGACACTCCCCCTCTCTCTTTCCATGCCGCCTGTGGTAACCACCCTGTTCTGTATTGAAGTATCCCCTTGAATCTCTTTCCCCTCTAGTTTTTAAACAAAAGAACTCTACCTTGTTCAGTTATGCACTTCTGTTTACATACAAAATAATGTCTATATATTAGGTGCTCAGAAAATGTTTGGACTGAACTAACAGGTGGTATATATAATGTCTGTACACACTAACTTGCTGTCCGTCAGGATGTCTTGAGCTGGCTTTAACAGCCTAAAGTACTTCATGAGAGTATCAAAGTACCTTCAGTGTAATTTAACTTCATGGATATATGTGATTGTGTTGCCTTCCTGCCTAAAAAATCCATGGCTTCAAAGAGCTTAAAAACACTGAACTTTTTATTAGGAAAATTACCCAGAAAAGAACTCTTTTTTTGTTTTTTAGAATAAAACTAGAGCCGCTCTACTTGTGTTTGTTTCATAAATCTAGCTGCACAGTAAAAGATTCATTTTGAATAAAAGCCTCTATAAATTATGTGTTTAAAAATATTCCACCCTAGAAGGGAAAATGTCCTGACGTTTAAGATCTTTTGCTCTGTCCAAAAATGATGCATACTTATTTTCCAGGCGTGCCCCGTGAATTCCCAACTCCTTTCACTTGGCATTATTTCCCCCCTGGAATGAGAGGGGTGTTCTGTTCTATCTCAGAAGAAGAGTACAGCTGAGGTTCAAGTCCAGGCATTTACTATTTTCTAGCAACAGTAGGGTGTGTAACATGCACAAACCTCATTGTAATTTTTGCTTTATGTACATGTTCTAAATCTTATGTCTGTGAATTGACCTTTAAGTTAGCATTCATGTCAAACAGCATTTGCATTCAAAGCTGCAAATATGCCACCCTTACCTAACAGGCATTTGTAAGCATCCCTTGTTGATAATGCTACATTGAGAAAAATGGTAGATTTTGATTTTTTAAAAATCTTTAACTGGTTTTAATCCTATTTATTTGTAAACATACCTTACCAGTTTATTTATTTCAAGGATGTTGTAATTCTCTTTAAGAAATTTTGTGTCCGGAACCACCACATATCAAAAATGGACAGATTATAAACGAACGTGACACTTATGAATACAGACAGGTTGTAACATATGAATGTGATAGAGGCTTCGCCATGGTTGGAGAAAAGCAGATTTTTTGTACTGTAACAGATGACACAGGAGAATGGAGTGGCCCACCACCTGAATGCAAAGGTAATCAACTGGTGTGGTTATGTTTTTCTTTTCTTCTTACCTTTAGGTCTATATATGGACTTTAGCAATGCTATGAATTCTCTGAGAAGAGAATGTAAAGTATGGTATATGTATATATTTGCATTTTTCTGCAGGGCACAGTTTTTCACCAAATTCTGAGGCCTCTATCCATACGTGCAAAAACAATATAAAATATAGATAAAAGTTTAGAGCCATTTAAGACTTGTTAAACTGTACAAACATGTTAGAGAGGAGAAAAGGAAGAAGTAAGAGGAATAGTGACAGGAAGAGGACAGGAAAGGAGGAGAGAGGGAGAGGGGGAGAAAGAGATATTCAAAAAGGTAATGATTGAGAATTTTCTAAAACTGATGAAATACACTAGACAGTAGAACCAAGAAGTTCTCTGGACTCTAAGCAGGACTGAGAACAAAACCACTTCAAGATGCCTCAAAGCAAAAAAGAGTTGGGAAACTCAAAGCAGTGATAAAAATACAAAAACAAAAACAGCCTTCATAGGAGCAACAAAACTAATCACTTGACTTTTCAACAGAAAATGTTAGTCCTAAGGCAATAGGAAGAAACCTTTAAAATAATTAAGAAAATTACTGCTTGCCTAAAATTCTGTACCCAATGAGCTGTCCTTCAAAAAGGAATGTTAAATAGAGATGTCACAAAAACTGTGGGAACTTGTCACCGACAGACATCACCCTTACAAAAAAATAAAGGAAAATTTTCAAGTAGAATGAAAATACTATAATCCTGTTTTCATAAATGAAAATGCAAGAAGAAACAACAAATATGCAAGGACTAATGAATACTGACTTTACAAAACAGGAGAATGCAGTGTCTTCTGGGCCTTGAATTATATACAACATAAAAACGTATAATAACAATAAACCAAATGGCAGGAGGAGGTAAATTCAATCTATAAATTACAATGTGTTAGCATTACTGAAAAAGTGGGAAAAGTGATAATTTGCATAATTGACTTACAGTACAGTGATAGTGAACCTTTTAGACACCGAGTGCCCAGGCTGCAACCCAAAGCCCACTTGTTTATTGAAAGCACTGCAGTTAACCCTGAGTACTTGGTGCTGGTTGATGCCTGGTGACTTGGCTTGCCTGCTGGCAGAGGGTCTCTGTGTTCCTGCTGCGGTGCATGTGCCACAGCTTTGCCACCCCTGGTCTGATCTCTCAGATTGCCTCAGAAGAGCAGTAAGAGAATGTATAAACCAAAAGGTAACCAAAGAACGATAACCTTTAATCCTGACGAGAACCAAAGAGGTGGAGAAACAGAAAGAAACTTTACAGGTAGGATTGAAAACTAATAATAAAATGGTTGGTATACATGAATGGAGGACAGTAATTAAATGAAGTGTAATTTAACTAAGGTTTTCAGACCAGAGACATTTAAAAAGAAACCCGAATTATTGTTGACAGTAGACACAGTTGAATAAACTATGCAAACACTACTGAAAAAAGTGTGCAGCTCTATTAATGTCAGTGTTTATTAAGATAGTTCATAACAAAGGAATCAAATCAGGAAATCTGAAATTCACAATCTGATATCTGTATGCACTTGAAAAAATAGCTTCAGTTGATATATAGAGAGAATGGACAGAAGGGAAAAAGGGCAAACTCACACAGTTGGAGAATCAATATAATTTTTCAATAAAAGAAAAAGTGAAAAGTCATTAAAACCATAGATCTGATCAAAATGTAAGCTGAAATTTACATAGAACAGTATTAAACCCCGTAAATGACCACATTTTTTCCAAGAATACATGGAACATTTATCAAAATTAACCATATGCTGAGCCCTAAATCACAGTGCCTTTCAGAAGATTGACATTAATCAGAGCATGCTGTCTGACCACAGGGGAGTTAAACTCATGGTCAGTAACAAAATACACTGGAAAACCAATTCCCAGGAAATTTAAACTCTGGTAGTAGGAAGTTCTGGATCAAAAGTAAGAACTAAATTGGTAGAATAAAGAGGAAGTTTTATGTAAGAGGGCCTTGCCATGGAAATTCCTTATAAAAACTCCTCCCACCCAGTGATAGACCTATCGCTGTGTTACCTGGTAAGTGTCCTACCTGACTTAGCCCTTACCGTGCCCTGTGACACAGGTCATGGAGGCAGAGAGACATGGCACATGCTGTCTGCACGCCTGGAACGTAGTCTGTGTGTGCTGGGGCTGGCAGTAGCAGTCCTGGCTGATGTCACCCGTGGCTTCAGGGACAGGCACTGTGTGACATAATGTACTGAGTATTTCCCTCAATTTTTACATAGTGTCATGCAGTTTGTACAGAATCTCCTATTGTTTTACATTTTTACTTATTTTTAACTGACACAGTAATGGCACAAATATATGACATAAGATGAGATGCTTTGATTCATGGATGTGTGATGCAGTGATCTAACCACAAGTAATTTACATCAACCTCTGTTTTTATTGTTGGGTTTTTTTCCATTAATTTTATTGGTACATTTTAGGTATACAGTATGCTGACTTTTGTCATGGGGAATTTGTACCTATTTACATACTCTATCTTGGTTATTTTTTTCCCCATTCCCCTGCCCTTCCTTCAACCCCTCCACCCCTTTCTGTTTACAAAGACTTTGTTTCTATTTTTTCCTTTTCTCATATTTATTCCTTTCTCTTCTTGCCTTTCCCCTACCCCTCCCACTTCCCCTTCCCCTTTGGACCTTTTCCTGTTTCACATTATCTGTTACATATTTTGATCCTTATTTACACTTTCAGTTTCTCACACCAGAGAAACTATTCGGTACTTACACATGTGTGTCCTATTTATTTCACTCAAGAGTATGGCCTCAGTATGCATCCATTTAGCTATAAATGTCTCTAATTTCTCATTCTTTATGGCTGAGTAGTACTCCATTTTATGAAAAAAACCCAAAACAACCATTTTCTTTATCCAGTCTCCAGTTGATGGGCAATTGGGCTGTTTCCAAGTTTTAGCTATTACAAACTGTGTCACTACAAACATGGATGCACATATATCACTATGGTACGATTCTTTTAATTCTTTTTGGAAGATACCTTGCTGGAGTCAAATGGGTCAAATGGGACCTCTAATCCTAGTTTTTTGAGGAATCTCCACACTGATTTCCACAGTGGTTGCACCAGTCTACACTCCCAAGGGAGGATTCCTTTTTCCCCAGAGCCCCACCAGCATTTGTTCTTGGCTGATGTCTTGATAGCAGCCATTCTTTTGAAAGGGAAGTAATACTCCCAAATTCATTCCTGGAAGCAAGCATCACCTTGATCCCAAAAGCAGAGAAAGACCCAACCGAAAAAGAGAACTATAGGCCAATCTCACTAATGAACATAGATGCAAAAATCCT